AAAGGTTTACCTTGAGATGGTGGGGGTCAAATACTTATGCAAAATACATTATAAAAAAACAACTGATAATTATGAAAATAAGAAAATTAGTAATGTTAATTGTTTATTATTGATTTGTACATTGTTTTATTAAGTGAGTAGAGAAATATTATGAAATCAAATTCAGAAAATTTTTTGGATTGATTGATTTTTAAAAAAACTTTCATGGCTTCTCAATACTCTGTGGGTTACTAAAAGCTGAAACATTTTAAATTGTGAGAATAATTATTTTTTAGTGAGTGAATATTACATTAATGGTGATTTCTTTTTTTGAGATACAAGTCCTACTATATTTGTGCATAAGTGAAATAAACACAGATGGAATTCACTCAGCTCTCTGATTTCAAATTCTGGGCAAAAATTATTTGGAAAAATGAAGAAATAATTTAAAAGTCAAATACCTATGAATACAACATTATATAAACACACACAAATTATATGAGTTGGGATCAAATATGGATTGGAATCTGACAATGATAGAGAACAAATAGGAAATGTTTATCAATCAAATATGTTTCACTTTTATTAAAAGCTTCATCAGAGAATGAGATATGGAGATAAAGAATGAAATTCTCATATTTTTACTTTTGTGATGTTTGATTTTTATTGGTTAATCATGTTTCATGTGCAGAAGTTTTTTAATGCCAGTAAGTATCTCACAAATATACGTTATCGTCTGAATCCCACATAGACAAACTAGTATTATTATAAATTTCTATACATAAAGCAATATTTATGGTTTTTCGAGGAATTTTGAATGGACATATCATCTCTCTTTGAATCCAGAACACCACAAATTAAACTGTTTGTTTAACAAGTTAAATGCATGTGAAACAAAAGTAAAAATATGAGAATTTTGTTCTTTATCTCCATATATCATTCTCTGATGAAGCTTTAATAAAAGTGAAACATGTTGGATTACAGTCTGTATTTTATCGCAACTCATAAATATATATATAAGAGGGAGAGAGAGAGGAATGAGGTATACTGAACAGAGACTGCCTACTCACTACCATAGATCAATGACCTGAGTCAAATTATGTCTATTTGAGAGACTCAATACTGAATTCTGCAGAGATGAAGAGCTATTTCCTTTGCATAGCTCAAATTAAATACATTTCAGCTATGGAAAGGAAATGATTCAGTATTGAGTCCTTCAAAAATATAAATACTGAATAGGTTTTTGAAGTAAAAATTTGACATTTTTATATGTTTAGATCAATTTTTTGATAAAATTTGTAGAAAGAGATCATTAATTCCTAAAAGTATCAATATTTTATAAGAGCAGAGATATTTTTAGCTGAAATTATTTATTTATTTTTTTTTTTTTAAATCATTCAAATAGTTTAGTTTAAAATATTGTGACTGTTACCACTTCTGCAGGTGTGTGTTGCATTTAATCATTTTGGAAATGTAATTAAGCTTCCAGGAAGTTTGAACAAAATTGTGGGAGTTTGGAAAATGCATCAGTTGAAATATTGCAGTAAAGACATCAACAATGAGAAGACTGGTCTAAAAGAATGAGTGTTCACACTAATTGGAAAAAGAAAAAAAAAAAGATTTCCTCAGCGCCTTTTAAAACAGGCTTATTTTTAAAGAATTTCAATATTACGATATTGTTGACATTTCTGCATTGCCCTGGCTGCATTGTGTGGACGATAATTTTCTAAAGTGTCACCATAGCACAACTGCATGGCACTTTCTAATGTCATTGTATTTGTATAGACTCTTGGAAGTAGGAAAAAATACAATATAAAGAAATGAAAAAATCTTGAAGGCAAATTAACTTGCACGATAACAACTGTGTTGGAAAATCCAAACTGAAGATGTAACTTTGATCACAATTGATAATAATGTTCATTAAACCGGAGTAATATGCTGATTTTATAAAAACTGAAACAATTTTAAACAAGTACGTTAAAAAGAACATAAATGTGTTGAATGTTAAAAAAAAAAAAAAAAAAAAAGGACTCCAGATTTTGTTCATTCATCATGGTGAAAAATATTTTTGCTTCTAAAATTGGAATGCTTGATGTTCTTTAAATATTTTTGGCAATTGTAGATATTAAATATAAAGAGAAAAAAAATCCAAATAGAATCAAATATATTCAGACATACAGTATCACAAGTGTGTGTGTGTGTATATATATATATATATATATATATATATATGATTTTAATTTTAACTGCATGTTAAATTTTTTATTTTATTTATACGTGTATTGAGCACTTTTTAATACTACTGTTTCCCGGTCTAATTCAACTCTGACCAATAACTTTTTTATAATTATATATTTATATAAAAAGGTGTATTTTAGCAACAATAATTCTGTCAAACATGTTTGGTTAAATAAATATGGACAAGTTTTATCTATTAAAATTTTATTTAATTTTTCATTGTTGGTAAATTTTCAAATGTTGCAAGAGATGCAAAATTAAATAAAAACTGTGTAAATATATGCAGAACAATCTTTGAAAATAAATGTAGCAACATTCAAAGTACTCAGGAAGAAAACAATATAAAATAAATATGAGCTTTGTCAAATTTACCAATAACACAAAACATCTAATTTGGAAATTTTAAAAAAAAATAAAAAAAAAATTGATAGACAGAACACACACACACACACACATATATGTGTGTGTGTGTGTATATATATATATATATAAAGTTATTGATCAGAGTTGAATTAGACCAGGAAACAGTAGTATTAAAAAGTGCTCAATACATGTATAAATAAAATAAAAATTTAACATGCAAATCTTTTAAATTTGAAAAAATTAGATCAGCTGATCACACTACCTTGGTTTCAACCTATTAGTATCTTCAGGTGATCTGGGCTAAAATTATTTTAAAATAAATAATATTATTATAGTTAACTTTTCTTCTTAGCACAGATTGCAGATTTTCCTATGATTGTTATAAGGTTTGGCTTTTTTTTTTATATTTAAACTGGAAAATTAAAATTTTTTTAAAATGGGAAATATAAAAAAAAGAGCTAATCCTTACAACAATCATTGAATATTGTTTCCACATCTGGTCTGGTGCTTCTGCTATTTAACTAGAGATTTTTGATAACATTGCAGATTCTTCTTTGGATTTTATCTGTTCTGATTTAGCATCTCAGATTCAATCACTTTCCTACCAACAATGTCACTTCCCTGTGTCTTTAAGTAAATATTTTCATGGCAATTGTTCTGATAGACTTTCCTCTTTGGTATCACAACTTCATGAATTGAAGTATAGTACTAGATTGGCAGCTAGGTCTCATCGTTTTACTGTCAAAATTTCTAAAGGTAATCTCTATTTTAATAGGGTTTCCTCTCACACTCTTCTTGCATATGGAACTCTACTCCAGTTTCATGCTTTCTTGTCAACTACAAAGTTAAAAAATTTAAATGCAACTCTTCAATTTTAAATGCATTTGAATGTCATCTTTTGTCTCCTTGAATCCTGTTCTTAGGTCTCATCAGACTAATATTTTTCCCCAGAATGAAACTGACTTCTAGAGATGGTGAAAGGCAAACTGTTGCTTGGTCCTCAGCAAAGAGTTCATTCTAAAAGTCCAACAATCCAATTATACCTGGCTGAGTGACTAGTTGTGTCTTTGCTCACTTATTAAGCATTACTTTCCACATTTAATTTACAAAGGCATCCTTTTCAAGGCAGATCAGTAGTCAGGCTATGTTTACATTATGATGGCACTATTTGATGGGGATCTTTTTATATCCCATTCACAATGGTGATGGCCAATTGTCACATCATGGAAGTCTTTGCCATTGTGTAAACCTTCATATATATCAGCCAAATTTTTAATGAATATACAAAATTAGTGCAAACCGTGACTGAAAAATTAGTACATTTATATGCACTAAGTTTTCAGTCATGGTTTGCAGTAACTGATCACTAGAAAATTTCCAAATTAATAATTTGAATAGAAGTCAATCTTAAACTGAAATTTTTACTTTGGGAATGTTTTCAGAATCTTTTTGTATTACTTTTTGTTATATTTGTCATTAATGTGTAGGCAAATATTTCTTTATTTACCTCAATACATAGTAAAACCAAAGTATTTACTAGGTTCAACTCAAATTGTAACAAATAACAGAAACCTCATCTCTTGAGAACTACCAACAGCAGCAACAACTAAAATGGATAGCATGTGTAACTCAGAGAAAATAATGACATAATCAAGATGCTGACATTTTCAAATAAAAGGTAAGGAAGGAAACTCTCCAACAGTACTGGAAAGAGCAATAACCAGGACTGGATTATAACATTCTAGAGCACCTAGGCTAATAAAATTATGGAGCTCCCCTTCAAATGGAGCCACCCTCTAACTCATCCATACTTGTCTTGAATATTTTTTTTTTTTTACTTGTAATATATTTTAGCAACATTTACATAGCTTGAAGTAAACTTAATTCTTTAAATAAACTAGAATAACTATCTTTAGTTTGTCAATAAAAATGTTTTTTAAGAAATATTAATATTTTACTATTTATGGCAAACCAAATTAGCACATATTTCAACACAATCATAGTAAAACAAAAAACAAAACCCCAAAGAACACATTTTTTTATAACCAGCATTATAACTAAGCTTGAGGATCTTCAAGCTTCAGTGTATACTAGCTGAGAGGATAAGCTGCCCCTGATAACAACTACTGGACTTTAGAACAAATACAAAAATGCCTGAGCAGGTGTCTGCAACAAGTATCAGCTAGCCACCCTAGTAGATGGATGTACTCGGAAACAAGTAGCCATTATTATTTTTATTATATATATATATATATATATAATCTCAACACAAGTATATCTCAAGTCCCACATATATAACCACTCTTTGATCATGTATTCAAAACAAAAAGCACATACACCTATATGAAAGAAGTATTGTATCTTTTTTTTTTTAAGATTGCAATCTTTAATCTTCTAAAGAGAAAAAAATGATTTTTATTTTAAAAGGAAAATAAGATTTTACTCACCATGATGGCAACTAAAATAATAATGGTTGTGGCGGCACATGATGCAATAATATATGGGAAATATGGCTGCACCCACAATGAATCTTCCATAGAGATCCTGTAGTCAGTCTGCAGAAAATAGAAAATCATTTCCTTCAATTCATACACATCATGAATTTTTATTAATAGTTACAAAAACTGCAACCAGAATAAATGAAAAATGATTAAAAGGAAGTAAAGGAAAAATTATTTGTTTTAAGATTACAAATTTAGAATTTTTTCAAGCAGGAATGGATTTAACCAAAATATTTGAAAGTGTAGGAAGATAATCACAGTAAACTATAAGAAAAAAGTTTTGATAAATTTTATATTTTTGTAAGAGTAAAAGCCAATAATCAGATTATAATCCCAATTAATTATTAAAAAAATTGATAATTTATCAAAAATAATTTTCTTGATAAATTTTGTATTTGCCAGAAAATAATGACAGTAAGCTTTGGAAAAAAAAAAAAGAAAAATTGATAATTTATGAAATAAATTAAATATTCACCATATATTGGCTTAAAAATGCCAGTCCCAAACCACCAGAGGACACAAATTCAAAATGAAAAAAATTTTTTTTTGAAAACTGTGCTGCTAAAACTGATTTCTGGTAATGTGGGTGATACGTATGTTAGCAGCGACTAACAGAGACTGAACAGAATTCAAACCTTGGATGGGACAGTTTGCTGTCTCTTCAAACTGATATTCTTGGGAAAGGCATGAATTAACTTCTCCCTGCCAGATTTGAATAAATAGTTGGATAATTGGAGCCTTTTATCTCCTATCAGAAATTCAACTTAAGCATTGGGATAGCAACCCAACCCTGTAAAACCATCACTTACTAATGCAATAGCATCTCATTGTGTGGTTGTAACCTCCCCTAAGCTTCACAAGGGGTCTACAGAAATCAGCAGCAACACATACAAAAAAATGATATAGACATTAAGCACCAAAGTTGAGAAATTTATTTCCAACTTGTGTTGGAAGAAGAAGAAAGGTATAATTAAATTATTTAAAATATAAATATTTACCAACAAGGCTGAACACTATCTGAATTTCTGGGCTAAAGAGTTATCATTATTTAAATTATTTATATATGGACTGTTGTATTATTCATCGTTGTTATTATCACAATGTTTTAGCCATTGTGCCCTCCAGCCTTCATCAGGTGATTATCAATCTGGGTAACCTTCAGGGAATTTCAAATTAAAGCTTTTATTTATTCTACAGGGGTAGATTGTTCTCATTCCACTGAACATGTCTAAGGATATCTCATCTAGTTCTATATTCAATACTGCTCAGTTACAACTTGTCTCATTTCCAAATCAGTTCAAGTACACACTCCCCAGCACAGGGATTGAACTCTCAATTACTAAATCACTAAATTCACAAATCTCATGGATTAAATAAAGGGTTCAATTCAAAAATCCCTGAAGGTTACCTGGACTGACAAACATCTGATGAAGGCCAGAGGGTAGAACAGTTGAAACATTGTGATAATAATGATGACCACTGTCAGATTTTATTATGCAAACACCACATGTACTGCAGCTGCAGTACATGTGGTGTGTCCTGGGCAAGTTAGCCTGATGGATCCCATCACTTTCCAGGCTGGTTTGAATTCAGTTTTCCTTCTCCTAGACTATTTGCCAACCAAGGCTATAGAAATAGGATTCGGTCTGTTCTGCTATTTACTCATACCTGGGTGGGGGGAGGTTGTGATGGATTCATACTTTTCCCAAGATTATTAGCACATAAGTGAATGTAATGAACTCAACTTGAATTTGTACTCAGCTCTCTAATTCTGCAATTTGAGTCGCTATCCATTTTGTAATTTTGTTTGCAATATCAACTGTTATTAAAAATATTCAGTATATCTTGTTTTGTAGTGTCAAGTTTTATTAAGCAAACAAACTTTGTGTCATGTCAATTTTTATTTACAAATATATCTGAAACATGCAAGCAACAGAGAAAGAAACACCATGTGGTTTAATCCACTGTACAACAAAAACGTAAAAACTAATGTGGAAAAAAAAAAAAATTCATTAAACTCATCAACAAACATTTCCTTCCATGGCATGAAATGTTTGTGCTGATTGTACTTTGCATTATCATGATGTACTTTTGTTTGAAAGCAGTGCATAATGAATTATGAAAGGAGAAAATGTAAGCAGATGTGTTGAAGTCTCTTTGATGAGAGTTCTATGAAGTCCCCAAAGAAGATTAAGATCACATTTGGAAATGAATGACAACTAAATTTATTTTATGTAACAATAGAATCTTTCCTTCAACTTCCCAACATTGTCGTCTTATTTCAGATAGAATCTTTCTTTCAACATCATCTTATTTCAAGCAATCTTCAACACCATTAACTCATTTCTGCCATTCTTCTGTCTCTGACAAGAAATGGGATTTGAAGAATTGGATTCACCAGTCATGCTGGTTTTTAATTGCTTTCTGACTTAGATTGTAAGTACGATTCCATACTTGTGGTCTCAACGCCTACTGGTAACCAGTGTATTCAGCTAACTAGAATTGCTTCATCCATGCCATTGTAGTTGACTGTGTCACTTATCATTCTGTATCAATCACTGTATATCAAGCCAATATGTCTGTCTGTTGAGGCTTTGCTTATATTTGCAACTGGAGAGTTGCTCCCTCCAGGCCTCTTTGTTATTGAGGATTGCTCCTCCCAGTGGTTAAGGTTTGTCTGTCTCCTACACCTTAAGCTGTCTAGGTTGAAACTGCCAGTAGATAAACTCCCACCCTCTCTGGGTGACAGGACTATGCAATCCATTGCATCATGACAAGGTACTTAATATCAATAAAAATAAATAGTTTTCCATCAAAATTTGATTATCAAATTCAATAGAACATAATTCAATTGTCAACAAATGAAAAGAAAATACTGGATAATTTAATTCCAAAATAAGAGATAACTACTTAGATATTTTCATTAAAGGTTTAGTTTCTTGAATGATTTGGGTGAATTTATCATTTGTTCATTTTCGATTCCTCTAAATGGTCATAGTCACATTAGTTTATGGTTCATTTAAATATTTCAAGAGGCAAAGAAAACACTTCCAGTTTTTGTTTTTACAATAATAATCACCCTGTACAAGGCTAAAGAGCCACTTGTGGTAAAGGGTTACAGTGTAAGAGGTAAAGGGCACAGTTTATGAAAATTTATGGAGAAGATAAAAGTTAACCCTAGACTCTAACAATTTGATCTAACAGTAGTGATCGGGGTCATATGCTCTTGGGAGTTGGTTCCACAGAACAGTGGTTTATGGGAAGAAGTTACTGAATATGCATTAAATCACTCTAAATGTTATTGAATAGAACTAATTATGGGCCAGAATGCAGTTATTTTATAGCTATTCTATTTCTACTCAAAAATAATAGGGTTAGAAATTTAGAATAATTTAAAATATAACCACGCCTGCTTACTCAATTGATAACACAATAAACTAGAAATACCTGACTTTGCTATCCATAATGCCCCATTAACCAGCATATATAAATAGTAGCAGTACCACTCAACACACATGACCTGAAGACTGCATTCAAGCATGAAAAAGATTGTCACCATTTGGCATTGGCCTCAGTGTCCTCTCTTATATTTACACACACTCTATCCTTGATAGTGAGCACTTTTACCCATAAATATAGCATAATTTAAAACTGTTTTTTTCAGAATGAGAGAGAGCACACAGTCATAACTCATTATGACCGAAGGTTTGAGCATACTGGCCTCATTTAAACTGTTGATCATGCCAGATTATGTAGTCTTTTCCAAAAAATATAACTAAAGTTCACTCAGCATAAATGGGCTCTGTGGGTGTTAAACAAGCACAAATGTGTCTGAGCAGGGGTCTACAATAGGGATTGGCTAACCATCAGAGCTGACAGGTGAGCTTGGAAATGAATAGCTAGCCATTATTATATAAATAATGTGTATTGTATGTAATGTGTATCAAGTCCACTAGGCCATGTGATTGAGTGATCCAAAAAATGACTTGACCCAAAAAGTTGTGAGTTCAATATCTATCGACAGCAGAGGGAACAAAAACTTGAAGAGTTGAGTTAAGGGAATTAACTGAAACTGAGATATGTAAAGGCATGGCATAGGGAATTAGAACAATTTACCCGCAGGGACTAAATAAATAATTGGTTTGAAATTCCAATGTATATCACCTGAAGAAGGCAGGAGTGTACAATGGCTGAAACATTGTTAATATGGCAATAAAAATGAGGACAAGAGCCTGAACAATGTAAATAGTTACAATACCTTATCTCAGAAGGAGAGAAAATTGATGTATGTGCATGTGGATAGTTAGAATTTGACAAAGTTTTTTTTTTATTTGCTTCAAGAATGTGGGTATGTGAATAAGAAAATAGGAAATAAAAATCTCCTTTATTATGTGTTTCGTTCTTTGAAAGGACTTCTTCAGACTAATAATGGTTTATCAGTGAAGCCCATTTTATATGTATAAGGTTGAGGGAGTGAAATAAAAGAATTGGCACTAATAGTCTTACATTGTGAAATGCTAAAGATACAGCTTTAAATTATTATGTTTTTGGCATTCTATAAATTTATATGTGTAGCTGAGACAGTTGTTCAGCTTTCTACTGCTTTTGTTTTTATTGCTATTGTAATAGCAGTGGTTATAAATTATAATGGAGATAAATTTATCATGTAGGACTCGGAAATTAGTGCACTTGTAATACATTTTCATCTTAATAAATTACTTTTTCTTTTAATTAAAAACTGCATTCTTTAGAGTCAACATTATGGTCAGACCTATTGCAATGAATGATTGGTGCATTGTTTTGTAAAAGATCACATTTGAGTTCATATAATTTATTTTTATCCAGAATGTAACACAGCTCCATGCAGAGATTCTGAATGCCTGGTTTGTCTGACTTCTTTTACTGTGATAGAACGATTTTCAGGATTAATTTACTTCTTAGAACAGCTACCCTGGTTATTTCTGTTTTTGTAGAATGCTTCATTTAGTCTCCTCTTAAAAAGCCAAAGATCTCCAGGATTAAGGCTGAGCAATAAATGTATTTTAATACATTTC